TTTGAACTAGATCAGTGATGTTAATGAAATGGATTTATTATTATTTATTTATTTGAACACATAAATACTGGTACAAGGGGGCACCAAATAGATATGCACCGCATAAATCTCATTTGATATGTGTGAGGGTTGTGATACTGCTCAGGTGCCCAAACCGAACCAGGTGGTTTTCTTAGGGGACCACACCCGGAGTTTTCGACATAAAGGTCTGATCCACAAGGCAGTGGAGCATCGTAAGGAGATGGATTCCCATGGAAGCCGGTGACCAACGATTGGTTCATACACCATTTGTTTCCCTGGGATCCTAGAGCCCATGAGCACCATTGGTTTGGAATGATGGTTTTCCAACTACCCTAGGTGAACTCCCCGTGTTCACCAACCCGGTTTTAGCGCCGGACATTCGCATTTCGTCCTCTCAATTTCGTAAACAACACCCCGTCACGAGGAACCAATGAATAGGGCTTCCCTGGCAGAGGCTATATACGTGTGGCCATGTGAGAGCATTTGGAGAGGGTGAGCGGACTCTCTCCACACTCAGCCATACCAGGACATTTGGGGGTGATCTGATACACTAATCGTTTTAATTACCGGTTGCTTAGCTTTTATATAAACTCACACACTTTAAAACTTGAATCCTGGATGAAAAATAGAAGAAAAAAACCATGGAAGAAGCTACACTTCTAAATCTAGTTTCATGAAGGGAGACAAAAGTAAACATGTGAAAGTTCAAAATTGACAGTGATCTTCTTGATGCTTGGAAGATGATAGAATTGGTAGCAAACTTAACAATTCTTTAATCGGATTTATGAAGTAAGATATATTGTTTTTTAGATGTTTCCAAGATCTTTGATTGGTCAAAATATTCTCAGCATTTTTCCATCATCACAATTGATTGATCACTGGGTGGTGACCGATGCCATGTGTGTCAAGTCCTTATTAGTGCAGATCGAATGCTATCGACCATGACATTGGTCACCACCCAATGATCAATCAATTGTGATTACATTTCAGTCCTACAGGAGGTTGGTCGCGGCCCAGATAGCTCAGTGGTAACGTCTCTTACTGTAAAGCTGGGTGACACGGGATCGGATCCATCAGGGAGCACCAGTTCCCTCAAGATTACAGGTACACCTTGCTGAGGAGTGCCAAGTAGCACGAAACCCGGGCTAACAGGGTTTCCTGTCGACTACCTCTAACCACCACTTAGTTCTTCCATGAATTATAGACGACTTCCAATATCAGATACCAATAAAATTTACTCATATTTCGTTGATTTGAATAAGTTATATTAAATTGAAATCATTTCTGCTCACAGGTAACTTTGTGATAGATTTTACTAAGGCTGTGATTTATAGAGTTGAAGAAGTCATAAATATGATGATAGATATCAAATGGTGGATTATCTTCGAGACTATTCTTAAAGTTTCATATATCAATCGTCCTGGTAATCGTTGTAAGTCTCAACAGTGTATAAACTTCAGAAGAGAATACGAAGTGTTAAGTACAGTTTATTATTGTACAACACATCACTAAGCCATGAGCACACAAAGCGAATACGAGCAGAGATGCAAATGCAATTGAATCTGAGCAAGTAATTACAGAGGCGAATAAATAGTCAAATAAATTGATAAGATTAAAGCACATATATATTGGAAAGCGAATGAGTCACCGAGCGGTTTAAGCTATTAATGTTCAAGCTATGAAGAGAAGTGTGTGTAGGCTGTAACTCGTGGTCAAGCATACACGTTCATAAAGACATGATAATAATAATAATACAAAGATGTAGGCAAACTATTGCTGTTCGAATGACACTATCTGCTAAATAAGTTAACTAAATGGTTTGACAAGCAAACTGACTTGAATTCAGAAATTGAATCCTTGTATTGTAACCCAGATACCTCAAAAAATACTGTGCACAATGTAGGATCTGATGCCTTGGAACTCAATTTTATGCCAAGTCATCGGTGTACACTAATGAAGATTCTCGGACCAAGACTAACCAACGTTAAAAGCATAGTTAGAGACCCGCTTGAGCATTTCTTAAAATGACCACATGATTCAGAATCTCCATTTCAGCCAATGAGAAAACAGTGTATAAATCAAAAGTTACTAATGACAGAAGTAATGAGATCGTTGGAATCTAAACAGTATTTCAAAGATTTTTTTCAATGCTTACCATAATTTTAATAATCTTCATACCGTCGAAATATCGTTATATAACCTCGCAAATTTATTCAAAGTTAAGATTTCTGTCTCAATCCTTCTCACAGCTATATATAGTTTCCTAAGGAATTCATTATTGCCTACATAATATTTATTAATAAATGTAGTAAGATTAAATTACCAGGAAACCATCCTTGTTGTCTATGGTTGGGCCATGTGTTACGTATGCTTGAACACTGTTTACCACGACGCGCAATGCTGACTAGTGTTGGAGATGATTGGAATAAAGTTAGGGGCGGCCAAACCAAAACGTGACATCAGTGCTTGAAGTCAGTAACTTCTATTCTGAGCCATGTTGGTAGATGCACACTACTTGGTTTGGGTCCGCATGACTATCGTAATCAATGGTTGGAGACTCTTGGTGACATGGCTCAGAATCGATCACAATGGTGTCGGTGTATACACTCTCTGTCTTCCTCAAACCGTGAGATTAAGATCGCTTCATATCCTTCCTTCTACGAACTAATTCTTTTTTCCTGTACTATATCGTTTTATGAAATCTTTCTTTCACATATAACTACCATTGAATTAACTACTTCTATGAATTTGGTGTTCATCTTGTTGTGCTAATGAGGTATGGCAACTTAGACGGATGCACATATATGCCTGATCCTACGTTGTATCTGACTGACTGACTTTTGTTGTCTTATCGACATTGAGAAGTAATACGTAGAAATCGTTATCCACTCCAAAAAATTCAAATAAACTATCTCATGATCCTTGGTAGGAGAACACCAGATTCATTCAACAAAACGCAGCCCATGAAGGAAGTTGAAGTATTATAAAGTACATAAGGTTAGAGGCAATACTCTGGTCATGGAAACGATTAACTCAGAGTTATCTCATTACTTTGAGATGTGGGAGTAAATTATCACAGAGGCTAATCCAATGCTTATGATAGTCATCAGGATATATGTTGGATATCATTAGCTTTTGTAGTAATATTCAGATTGCAAAATATCAGCGAAAAAGTGACTTGGAGTATTTAGTTTAGGTTGTAAATGTTTTGGTTATTTCTTTTTCCTGAAACAAAAACGACAGAACATCCTTGTGTGCTCTGCAGGGTTGGTTTGATTTTCTACATTTTAACATATAGAACTACTTACAAATAACAAGTAGCACGAATTATATCACTAATTCTCTTAAGCGTCATGGACATTACATGTTGTCCAATTGTTGCCATGATTGTCTATCAACTAGAATTTCAGAATGGGTTTTGTGGAGATTTTTAGAAATTTCACAGGTTGGAATCATGAGTCAGTTGAAACTACACCACCATGGAAAACCTGGAAGCACTGGACGGCCTTCTCGTCCTAGTATGGGGCTCCTCAGAAGTGCACATCCACGATCCCGCATCTCGCGAGATTCGGAACCAGGACCTACTGTTCTCGCGCGCAAGCACTTAATCACTAGACCACTGAGCCGGCATCCAACGTTGTTAATGTCTAACTTCAACCAATCCACGAAGTTGCGCCACCGTACACCATTGTCTTCAGTGAGTTGATATTTCACAACCGACCTGGTTGAACTCCACTGGTAACGGCTTCTCACAAGAAATCCAGGATCGTGGATGCGCACTGCTGAGTAGTCCGATACCACGAGGAAACGGCCGTCCAGTGCTTCTAGGTTTTCCATGGTGGTCTAACTTCAATTGACTCATGATTTCAACCTGTGAAACTATAATTTCGTTTAAATTAGTTTTCATCAATGTATGTATATTTCTTTTTCTTGTATAATTGTCCTACAAACTGAACTTGTGAGTCGTATTTGATTCGTCCAGTCATGGTATAACACAAGTAAATCATTTCTGCTAATCATTGGAGCCCAACAATGAATTCATAAACTGTGGGTTGAAGTACTTGCTTTCGAGTTAAAACTACTTCCTAAGGACTAATCATACCAATTACCTGTACAAACCAAAGTCGGTGAAGTTGGGTTGGAACCCTGTACTTAGTGGCTGTAAATTAACTACTCTAACCATTAAGACCATACCGTTCGACTTTTTGATAGTAAATTCTGTAAATTAGTTCTTGTGTTTATTCAAAGGTTATTTGTATGATTCGGTTGTACTTTGATAATGTGACTAATACCTCTAAGCTACTCAAGATTTTTATTCTTAAAGTACACCTAATTTTCTACAAAAATTTAGATACTTTTAAAAGGTCGAATTCATGAGTCAATTAAAGTTAGACCGCCATGGAAAACCTAGAAGCACTAGACGGCCGTTTCGTCCTAGTATGAGACTTCTCAGCAGTGTGCATCCACGACCCCGCTCATGGGATTCGAACCCAGGATCGCATTGAAGTGTGTAAAACTAACCAATTTAATAATTAATTATTACAAGGATGGAGATTCATTTTCTTCCAAATTCTAATGTGACTTCGTCTTCACTTATTCAATTAAAATGTACGTGATACAAACTTTGCAATTTTTCAAATCCGATGGGTCAACATTCAAATCTATGAAATTGAGCTACTCGTATTCAAATTGTTCTGCAAATGTAATGACTTAAAATATAAATCAACTTACGTTTATGAGATCATAAATCTTGATGGATGAATTGCTAATATACAGACTATCTGTTTGGAGTCTTTGTGATTATCGTAACGAATAGTTGGTGACATTGTGTGAATTGACTTAGAATAGAATAGAAGGATTCACTCTGTCTTCTCTTAGATCTTGGATTTTGAAATTATTTCATTCCTTTCCACAAATATATACATTTTTATCGAATCATACTGCCTATGTCTAACGTGTCACGCTACCGGCGGCCTGCTTGAATATCTGGGCTACCTGTTCCTTCGATCTATATATTTCTTCAAGTTATCTGTTTTGTTGTTCGTTTTAGCATATCAATATGTCTATTGTGCTCACAATCTATTCGGGCGCATTTATGAAAAGTTTACAACCTTTCGCTATACGGGATACAGAAAGGTACAATCAGCGACATCATGGTGGCTGGCAATATGCATTGAAACGAATGAACATTAATCAAATGCGGATTATCGAATTTTTAACATCTAACTGGTCATCATTCGAAATTTATCGTCACAATCGATCAAGATATAAGAAAAAGAAACTTGTTGAAATACTTTATGCTGAGAATTCTATGTTGTACGAAAAGTATAATGTTGAATAAAGCTTCTTATAATAATATAATAATAATACCACTGATACTAAAAACGGTAACCATGGTCTATGTGTTCTGAAACGCTATCTGAAGGAATTACTCTTTTGATACATTTTCAATATGCAATTTATATTCGCTAATCAGTAATATAGACAAATTGATGAAGTAGCGTTGGGTTCCAAATTGGCCCCTTTTCTAGTTGATTATTTCATAGCCAATATTGTCGATAAACGACATTGATGAATGATTGTTCTATGCACTGCAAATTGATCAAACTTAAAAAATAATGAAAAACTGTTTGAGTCTCATACCTAACAGTATTGTGTTCATTTCCGCCGACATTAAGGTCCCTAGGATGGAAAGAGTATTAGATTAAGACGAAACAACTATCCGATATTCTTTGCTTTTTCAGTTAATATCAATGGTCGATGGTGAAAATCACCTTCACAACACAATAACACATTGCATATGTCCACAAACACCAAATTGTTAACAAATTTGTATGCGCTACATAACGGGACTATCTGTCTAGGCGTCTCTGCATTGATGCAGATAGAATAATCTTTAAATACTGAGATGGTAGAGAAGATTTGTAGCTCAGGTGAGTGATTTTGATCTCTAAACACATCGATCATTTCCTAGCGAGAAGTTTGATACAATTAATAAATCAGTTAATCAATTATAAACAACGAAAGACTAGGTATAAATGTATACCAGTCAAACCCACGTTTTCATATCACGAAATATAATCGAGAACCATACACACATACAAATAGTAGTTAACTACTAAACGAACACTATTCACAAGAGATGGATTGTAGAACAAGAGAGAAAGTGTGAGTGAGTGAGTGAGTGAGTGAGTGAGTGAGTGAGTGAGTGAGTGAGTGAGTGAGTGAGTGAGTGAGTGAGTGAGTGAGTGAGTGAGTGAGTGAGTGAGTGAGTGAGTGAGTGAGTGAGATACAAAACCTGCGATCTCCGAGTTGTTCAAAGAAATAATATATTTTCAAGAAAAATTCAAGGGAGCATACAAGAGAAACGGGGAAGAGAAATAAAAACAAAATGAGAAAAAAATTACTAAATTATCTACTCGAATACATCACAACCTTCTTGTCTCTGTACAAGATTATAATAGTAACCATGATTAGCCATTAATTCTGAATGAGTTCCCTTCTATAAAAAAAGGACAATAACCACGACACAATATGAATATGCTTTGCTCTGTTACAACAAATATGAAATAGAAAACGTTAGTGATATCTATATCTACACTCTGTTTAACCATGAATACACGGTATACAACTAACAATAACAGAAGTGATATATTTTATTATTCACTAACAATCTATTGCTCAGCTATTCTCAATATAAAACTTAACACTAAATTGTTACGAGGTCTAATTTGTCACATCTTACATAAATACAAAAGGAACTAGATGAAAGGATCTACTTTCATACTATGTTAATAAATCAATATTTGTGAGTCGGTTTTCGTACTTTGCCACACACTAATCACATCATTTCAGAAGACAAACTGCAATATAATTATGTTTGGTCTTGCGGCATTTAATCACGGAAGTCAATCATTGTATGGTGTCTGATCTACGCATACTTTGCAACTTGTAATGATGGCTGTAGGATTCTTTTTAAAAAAAAACACTTACCATCAGTTCATCAAATCACTGACTAATGATGTAAACTAGGTTGCTGGGTTCAGACTATTCGGTTGAAGTCTACATGATAATTGCATCAGCGGTTGAATATGTTGGGTGGCATGGCTCAGAGCCGACCACAGTAGTGCATATCACATTCATTCTTGATATTCTTCTGGATATTGAGTTTCTGCACCTCCGTACCTCTTCATTCCATCTTCTCTAAATACAATCTCGATGTTTAGTTTTCTTTGCTATCACTACTACTACTACTACAGTAATTTTGACCCCTTAGCTATATATTATGTTAATTTCATTTCCTTCGTCTAAGGTACATTTTTGCACGGTTCTACACTGGTTACAGTTTACAGATAGTTGTATGACAATATCTGGTCTATCCAAATACCGACAATAATAAACTGTTAATCAAGTTAATTAAAAGAGTTAATTTTTAATTCAAAATTGTTACAAAATGAATCTAGGGTAAAATTTGAAATAGTTCAGTGGTTACATAACTACGTTAAATTCATCTATATACGTAACCGTTAAGTTTGTCGATGAAGCATAATATTTATCAAACTATTTACTTTACTATGAGCAGAGATGAATGGTGGCTAGCAGTGGAATCCACGACGCATGTTTCGTCCTATTTGGGACTCATCAGCTGAGTGAACCTGCATCCCGGAGTTGATATTCACTCCAAGACTCGAACTCAGTACTGTTCGCTTTAAACACCATGGTCTTATCCACTTCCTCGCTTCGTTGTCATGTAGGCCCTTTGAGAAGATACATTACAACCTATCGAAATTAAAAGTTTTATCAGATTTCTATTATTTGTGTTGATTACTGCCTAATAGTATGATCTAATTAATGTTTAATATTTTAATGGATAGTCTTTAGGTATTGGGTTCGAGTCTCAATGCACGAGCACTAACTAATTAGATGTGTAGTATTTTAGATTTCTTGGTTCGACACTACTATCTTAGAACATAATAAATTCATAACTACTGGTGAATATCAAACTGCATCACGAGGCAAGCCCTAACTTGGAATCCTGAAGAGAAGCGGAAAAGAGGAAGGCCAAAGAACACATTACGTTGGGAAATAGAAGCAGATATGAAAGGGTGAATAACAACTGGAAAGAACTAGAAGGGATTGCCCAGGACAGGGTTGGATGGAGAGTGCTGGTGGGCAGCCTATGCTCCTCTATGAAGAGTAACAGATGTAAGTAAGTAAGTAACTGATGAATATCGACTCATCTGTTCATGGAACCTAAATTACAAAAGTGATTGATTTTTTATTCAACCCCGAATATAACTACAACTAGGAAGATTCTAATTTTTAATGATTGATCATAATATTCAGCTTTGAAACCAAAAACCAAGCAGAAAACCACTCGAATCACTATCCATTTTTATAGAAACATTAATTGTTTCACTTATTTTCTTAACAAAAAACAGCATTAATCATAGGCAAAAACAACAAAGTAAAACTTACGTAACCATGTTTATGATAAGTAATAATTCAAACTCACCTCAACTATTTGCCCTCTAGACATAACTAGAATTAGATCGGCTTTACGTACTGTACTTAATCGATGAGCAATAATAGAACTGTACGACCTGCGAAAAAAAGCGAATAAAAATAAAGAAATAACCTTTGTGTATCTAAGTCGTTGTGTGAGCATTGATCGTGTGACTGACGAGATCAATCTACGCATAGTGAAAGTCAGAGGGGCTTTTACCAATCTGGGTCACATTTGACGTTGTCGTGATGTTAGCTTGACTGTTAAAAAATGGTTCTACAACGCGTTGGTGAGAGCGATTCTTATCCAGGTTTGCGAAATCTTACCTCTCTAAGTTTAGGATATTTGGCAGCTCTATATTGTGTCCTGTACAGTCGGCTCTTGATAACAGGAATGTAGTTGTGTAGTTGTACTCTCAATCTCTAGTTCGATTAGTCGACCTATATTTCCGGTAGGACGGTAACCATATATTAACTAGTTAACACATTGACCAATAAATAAGACTTTAACGCCTGCCTATTGGTCCCCGAGCTCCTTCCAACCCAGTAATCCAACCCGAAGATGAAGATTGGAAACATCAGTTCTCCACTACTTCATTTAGTCATAACTTAAAACTCATACAGTAATATACTTGAAATGTCTGATCACATAGTAGCTCAATTAGAAACCTAAAATGTGTACATAACTCAGTCATAAGTCATATAAAATAAGAGTAATAGGGGAATAATCATAGACTAAACGAAAGTCTGCAAATAGAAGAATATCAAAATACAACAGTACAAGCATCTACTAATAATGCAACAAAAATACAAACAATAAACTTTTGTATGTTACATTTGCATTGGTTGTGTTAAGTCTACTGTGGTGTTTGAACGAACTAATGATACTTTTGTACTTGTTGATTGCACGATTTCGAATTCCAAATACAGTACTTACTTCTTAATTCAATTGCGTTATCTCTGCGACTCTTATTTCGTACTATAATTCAAATAATTCGAAACATTATATCTACCCAATGTTGTTTAGGCCTGAAACTGATCAACCTCTTTTGAGCATCTTATGAAGATTGTCTGGATTATGCCATTAAGTCACGAGGATGATAAACCGAGGTGGATAATACCTAGTAGTGGAAATCAGGACGCGCGTGTCTTCCTATTTAAGATACAGGTACATCCAACTAAAGGATCTCGAATAGGATGAAACTCCCGTCCTTGATTTCACTGCTAGCCAACATTCATTTTGCATGATAATTACAAAAAAATGATGTTTCCATAATAATCGCTACATTCCATCAGAATGTTCTTTAGAATAAGATTTGTACAGTTGAAAAAATAACTAGTCCAATAGACTTAAATAATTAATTATTAGATTAACTCAATTGATTAATTGACTAACCTTTCATTGCATTATTTAATGCATTTTGTACTTTGGCTTCAGATTCAGTATCTAAAGCTGATGTAGCTTCATCCATTAATAGAATTGGTGCATTTTTCAATAAGATACGTGCTATTGCAATTCGTTGACGTTGACCACCACTTAAACCAGCTGTTGTACCAGTACCTTGACCAACTAGTGTATCATAACCATATGGTAAATCATTTGAAATGAATTCATGAGCATAAGCTAATTTAGCTGCCTCTTCAACCTTACAATATAAAAGTAAATTTTCCCAAACAACATTAACTATCAGTTATAAATACAATGAATTGAAATGACTGTAGTAAGATTAAGAGAACTGTTTAATCGTGTATAAACGAACATTATTGAAGTATCGACATTAAGAGTTACAAGAAGAGAATCTAGATTATTCCGTTAGGTTGTACTGGGTCTCATATGGTCGGGACATAATGATCGGAAAGCAGTGGTATAATCTCTTTCTCTCTATGGTCCGATTATAGACTAATCTACATATATTACCAATATGGCTGGTGATCTTCCAAGTATCAATTGACATACCGATCAGTGAACAATGATTACGATCTCAACGTTTATTGGTCCTCAAGCTCCTTCTGATCCAACAGTGGTATTTATTTATTTAACACATAGATATTGGTACAAGGAGGCATCAAATACATATGCGCCACAAACGTCACTTGATTTGTGTGTGGGCTATGATACTGCCCAGATGCCCAAACCGAAGCAGATGGCTTTCTTAGAGGGCCACACCCGGAGCCTTTGGCCTAAAGATCTAATCCATAAGGCAGTAGAGCAACATCAAGAGATGCAACACCATGGTGGCCAGTGACCAACGATTGTTTCATACGCCATTCGTTCCTTTCGGGATCCTGGAGCCCATGTGCGCCATTGGATTGGAATGAGGGTTTTCCAACCCCCCTAAGTGGACTCTCCGTGTTCACCGACCCAGTTAAAGCGCCGGACATTCTCATTTCGTCCTCTCAATTTCGTAAACAATATTAATGCCACGAGAAGGCAATGAGTAGGACTTCCCTGGCAGAGGCTATATACGCGTGACCATGTGAGAACATTTGGGGGCATCCAGCAGTGGTCAATCAAATGACCAAAATAGAAAGTATATCAGTTGTCTATTGTACTCAATTCAATGATAACTTAAAACTCAAATAATGATATTAATATACTTGACATGTCTGATTATACAGCAAAATAATTAGGAAATTATAATATGTGCATAAATGAGGTCAGTCGATGGCAATACTGAGTGACCCTAAGAACAAGTGCATTTGATTGGTTAAGAAATGGATCCATTTCCTAAGGATTACAGTGATATATATGTATATATATGAAAGAGTATTAGTGCGTTTTATTCGGTAGTCCAAGACACTCTCGCTCAAGTAGTCATTTGGGGAGCTGGAGCATAGCACGTGATGTATCAGTATCAGATTTCGGACACTTTGTCAAAACAATATCGATGATGTCACGTAAACTTGGATCGATGTCAAAAGTTCTATCCATAAGACCTGAACTTTGAAGAGCAATAAAACTATATGGGGCCATATTTCGTCTTGAGAAGTAACCAATTTATGAAATGACAATGTGGCCTATGAAAGTGAACTGGTAACCTAATAGTCTATCATAGGCCCCCAAGTGCCCTGGTATGGCCGAGAGTGGGAAGAGTCCGCTCTCCTTCTCGAAATGCTCTCACATGGCCACGCGCATATAACCTCTGCCGGGGAAGTCCTAGTCACTCCCTTCTTGTGGCAGGGATGTTGTTTACGAAATTGAGAGGAAAAAAGCAAATGTTCGGAGCTTTAACCGGATTCCATACCAATGGTGCACATGGGCTCCAGTATCCTGAAGGAACAAATGGCGTATGAACCAATTGTTGGTCACCGGCTTCCATGGGACTGCATCTCCTTACGATGCTCCACTGCTTTGTGGATCAGACCTTTAGGTCGAGGGCTCGGGGTGTGGCTTCCTAAGAAAACCACCTGTTTCGGTTTGGGCACACGGGCAGTATCACAGCCCTCACACATATCAAATGAGATTTGTGTGGCGCATATGTATTTGGTGTCACCTTGTACCAATATCTATGTGTTAAAATAAATAAATAAGTCTATCATAGATCACTTCGTTAAGATAACATCCAATCCATTCAATTGAAACGTTATTAGATATGGATTAGAATAGATGACAATGGTAATTACAGATATTATTTTCTAATATATTCGTTATGTAAAGGTAAGATTAACTTTATAAACTGAAAAAATCTCGCTTCATTGTTTGCTAAATAGTAGACTGTAGACTACTAGTTTGAACACAAGGGATTTAAACATGAGGTAAAATTTCAAAGTTTATTTAAGATCTGTTTGAAAAGACTGACATAACATTGGAGTTTTCCAGACTAAAATGAAGAATAACCAATTTTTTCTCAACTCAGATAGAAGTGATTGAAGGTAATCTACAGGAAATTCTGCATATAAGTCCCATGCTAGTCAGCATTTATCAACAAGGTATACCTGTAATCTTGAGAGTAACTGTTTCTCTTCATGAAGTCTTAACCTACATTATGCAACTTCACAATTTGAAACATTACAACTGAGCTATTCGGGTTGTTACTGACCTTTTGTAGAACTGAGAAATTTACGATTGATTGATCACCACTGAGTAGTGATTGATGTCATGTTTATCTGGATGGAGATCTGTTCTCTGAGCTGGATGGTTTGGTCGTGGATCTCTCATCGTTCTTCTGAGCGACATCATCAGCACAAACTTCAGATAGAAAAAAAGAAAAAAGACTTCTATCTGAAGTTTGTGCTGATGATGTCGTTCAGAAAAACGATGAAAGCTCCACGACCAAACCACCCAGCTCAGAGAACAGAACTCCACCAAAATCATCCACCTGAGCTACAAATCTTCTCCACTATCATGTTTATATAAACATTTAATGTTAATTGATTACTTTCATTTATTGAGCTACCTTTGTAGATTAGACGAATTAGTCTTAATGTGTCAGTAGTAACGTTCCGGTCCACTATGCTTTATTTATATAAGCACATAAATATTGGTGAAAGGAGGCACCAAATATGTGTGCACCACCCTTCATCATCCGATTTTTATGAGGACTGAAATACTGTTCGGATGCCCAAACCTAAGTAGGTTGTTTTCTTAAGAGGCCACTCCTCGAGCATCTAACCTAGAGGTCTAATCCACTAGGTAGTGGAGCAATGGTAGGAGATACATTCCCATGGTAGCCGAGAACAAACAATAGGTTCATATGCCATAAGTTCCATCAGGAACCTGGAGCTCATATGCATCAGAGTTTTGCAGCTCTTCTAGGTGGATCGTCCGCGTTCACCAACCCGGTCCAAGCGCTGGACATTCGCTTTTCGTCCGTCCGATTTCGTAAACAACACCCCCATCGCGAGAAGGCAATGTGTAGGACTTCCTGGAAGAGGCCGTATATGCGTGGTCATGTGAGAATATTTGCATAGGGAGAGCTGACTCTCCTCCACCCTCGACCGTACTAGGACATTTGGGGGCCATTACGTAGACAATCATGATCTTCAGTCAAAAGAAAAACACACAAAAATTCAAATCATAATGATGACGATGATTATCATCATGATTAGCAATTTTATACCTCTTCATCAGTCGCATCAAAACGACCAAATCGTATATTCTCTCTTATTGATGCATTGAATATTTGAGGTTCTTGACTAATATATCCAATTAATTTACTACGTAAATAATTCACATTGAAATTAGTTAGTTTACAATTATTTAACAAAATTTCGCCAGATATTGGATCGTAGAAACGTTCCAGTAAAGAGACAACAGTAGATTTACCTGTGAGAAAGAGAGAGGGGGAGGGACAATACATAGTAACAACTAATCATTCTACTTGATAAATTTAAAAGCCAGACAGTATCATACTACTTCAGTTGTTTCCTTGTTTTTGTTGAAACAAGATTAAAATTTTGAGAACTGTAATGCTGTTTGAAAGTGCCGAAATCATTCTAGGTTGGCATATTTCGAAGGAAAATTCTTCCCAAGGATTGACATGAAACTTTTAATTCACAAAGTAATGGATCAATGTCGGGAGATCCAATTTTATAATAATTGCTGACCAGAGAAGGTATTAGTATACCTGTTACTTTTAGAACCTTCAGAGATTCAACTCTCATGTTTTCAAATGTAGATTTTAGCGATTGAATTCATGAGTCAATCTAAGCTATCTGAGGTGGATAAGTGTCTCACATCTGACACAGATTGGACTCTACTAGTTACGGCTCTCCAATTGTTAAAATTACTACAATCTCCACAAATCCTCATACTAATCTATGTAGATTGTCGAGAATTGTTCAATATTCTCAAGAACTTTGGGAAGATGAAAATGTCAGGTAAGATGTTGCGTTGGTTGAGTTAATTCTTAGCTAGACTGCTTCCCATATATCAAAGCAGGTTAACCGAAAATTTATGAACTTAAGGATTTTCATTTTCAGACAGATTATAACTGAACACTGTGAAGTAGCCATAACTTAATGATCTATTGTCTAATTGCTTTTCAATTAGGAACTAGCATCGGTAATATAGTAAACAGACTGGACGAAGGTTTTCTATTCACACGATGCATTTGAATTGTACAAGAAATCAAATAAAAACGAAGATCTTTTAGAGTACGACACCTGGTGGGGCTGTGTATGTGACGCCTTATAAGATTTCCCCGATAAGTTGAAACAAATGTACAGTACTTCCTCAGTGGTTGGTAGGTCGAAGTTAGCTTATGTAATGTAACTCACAATCGAGTCGAGCAAACATCTCTACAAATCTACTAACACATTATGTTAGACGAAAATGACTAAGAGCAGTGGTAGGTGCTAGGAGTGCATATGTAAAAACTGACTATAAATATTACTACTTACCTGCACCAGACTGACCAACCAGAGCAATCACTTTACCCCCTGGTAAAAACACTGACAATTCATTTAACACAATCGTTTCCGGACGATTCGGATAAACAAATTTGACATCGGAAAATTCTATACTCGGTGCAGAGTATGAAGAAAGATATTGTACTTCACTTATTTTGGTCAAATGTTGCTTACTAACCACTAACGATGAAGATGATGATGTTATACAACCAATTCCGTCAGACAATGCCAATATCTACAAGAAACAATATAAAAATATTATTTTCCAAAAGACACGAAATTGACAACAATATAAAGACCCGAAATCACAAAAGAAACACGTATACCATTTTAGCAGCCACAGAACTGGAGAAATCAATTTTATAGCCTCCATGACAAATTAAAGAGATTCACTTAAAAGCCAAAAGCGTTTAACTAAAACACCTAGTTATAAACATGAAAAACAAAAGTAAAACACCACAAATAATTAAAGAAAGTATATGTAACGACAACATAAACACTAGAGAAAGGGTGCTGAGTGTGAAAAACGCTTAACTTCAAGTTTATTTCATGTACAGAAAATCGGGGGCATTTATAGTATTTTGGTTGGCCTTGAGCCTCTGAAAGTCTCTGGAACCATACTAAATATGGTAGCAGGACACGTAATCATCCTATCAGGAATTTGACATGTGACTCTTTACCTCCCAGATGTTACTGAGATGTTTCTATTCAACGTTGATTGGATAAAATGTTTCCTAGCGTTTTTTGGACCCTTGTGGACATTTTCGAGAAATACTTTGGGTTTCCTCAGCGCCTTTCTTCTTTCGAAAACTAAGACTTCTTCCTTGTGTCCACTTGCTTGCAGCTTGATAACTGTAACTATCTCCGACGGAAGACCAACATTCTTACCTTCCGCGTTCATTGCCCGTTTTTCTTAGTCGATTTGGCTCATGTGTCTAATCCACGTCCCAAACGTCACACGTACTTTGAAAAACAAAGTTCCCTATTCTCCTTTCAATAGCTCCAGGTTCTCACCGATTTTTCTCAAGGTATGACTTGGCGACGATTTTATCCCCCACACTAAATATGCTTTTGGCAAATCCAACTTTACAAAAAACACCTTTATTCAGCTTGGCAAAGAGATCTTCAGGCAAGGGTAAGAGATACCGATGAGTTTCTAGGGCTTCATTTAACTCGGCTGAGTATCCATCACATAAGCAGACTCTACCGTTGCAGCCCATTCTGAGAAGTTCGCTGGTTCAATAACACCCAATCTATGAAGTCGTTCGACTAACATATGGTACAGATCTTTCAGCCCGGAATACTGACTTCGATCACTATTGAAGGGTATGAGTAGCTTTCGATTTAGTGCATCCTCCAAACCCGTCACTAGATACCATTTTATATCGTTTTAATAATCCATCTACTGAGTTTTTATCGTCCACTCTCGTTGTATTGATGTTGATGCAGATCAAGTTTATGTGGCGACCTGCTAACTTCAATCTCTCTATCCAGTCAATTCCCAATAAGTCAAGTGGTGGACGTTCTGTCAAAAATATTACTCCCCTCTATGATGTTTCCTTGTCTGTGACTTTTCAGTGTATCTCGCCAGCAATGTTTAACATTCCACCGGATGCAATGTGGGTTGGTTGTTGAGTTGGATATATTTGCGGTCCCCCAATCTTCTCTCATGCTTTCCTGCTTATAAGTGTTATGTCGGAAGCCGTGTCCAGCTGTAAGGGGAGATGATATCCACCAAACATATTTTCTACGGTTTTATGAGCCGGTCCTGTTAAAGGCTATTGTTACTTTGGTTGTTCGCGGTTTCAATCTCTTAGAATATACTTTCGGTTGTTGACGGTGTTTTCTGGTTTCACAATGACTTCTTTATGCCCTTTTCTGAAACATGTAATACAACGATGATTAATAAACGAGCATGGGAATAATCGCTTGCCGCTCTCATTGCGATAATTTGGCGTGCTGGGACCTTGTACTTATTTTTTCTCGACTGAGTTCACGTGATAAAACCGGCTAACGTTATCTACCATCGGGTTATCATGTTTCAAATTCACTAATCTTTGGCATTCGCTAGTTACTTCCTGTAGGGTAATTGTGTTTGTATGAACTAATGGTTCTTTTGTACTCAATGTGTGCCTGATTTTGAATTCTAAATACAATAGGTTCGTTTATGCTCACCTAGTTCTGTTTGGTTTAAATTGCGTTATTTCGGGGATTCCTAGTTCGTATAATAATCCAAATACTTATAATCATCACATTGGCGTCGCGATGGAGCCGGTGATGGAACAGTTGGACATCCATTCAAATTTTGATGCTTTTGAGGATTATATGGAGAGGTTCGAAATCTGGACTATAACCAAGGAAGATGTTGAGGATGTTAATATTGTGGTTCATTTCCTTACATTTATCGGAAAAGAAGCCCACAACTTATTAAGAACTTTTGCATTTCCAGAAAAACCCATTTCACTTCCTTATGCGATTCTCAAGGGGCTATTACTAGACCATGTAAAGTGCACAAATTTCGGATGCTGTAAAGGAGGAAAGTTACACAAAATGATTCGCTAGGACATCAAGAATTCCACTACATTACTATTTCATCCAAATCAAATGCGTGCTCAAGGTTATGCAGATAATAATTCATTGAAGAGTTGCGATGCAGATCACGAAGATGAGCACAAGTTTGGAAAATGTTTGTCCTGTGGTAAATTTCACTCATGTAATTCATGTGTGTTTCGTAATGCTAAATATTTTAAGTATAGTAATGTTGGACACATACAGACAGTTTGTCACTCCGATCCTATTAATTTGAATGTTCCAAATGAATCACATTCGAATCGGATCCATGATATCATTTTATCAGACATGCATTTATTATTAGCTTCACTCAATATTATATTTTTGGTACAACATAGGATTCTCAGCGCAAAGTATTTCAACAAGTTTCTGTTTCTTATTTCTTGATCGATATTGACGATGAATATTGAGTGATCGCCACTTAGATGTTAGCAGTTCAGAAGTCGACATCTGAATAATATTCATTCTTTTCAATGAATATTGCCAGACACTATGATATCTCCGATTGTACATTTTTGTAACTTGTACAGCGAAAGGTCGTAAACTTTTCACAAACGCACCTGAATAGGCTATGCCATTATTTGACATCATGCTCTGTTAAAACAAATAACTTGTTGAAATATCTAGATGGCAGGAACAGGTAGTTCAGATAATCAAGCAGGCTGCGTTGTTCTCATGTTCCAAGTATTTATCATGAAATTATTATTATTATTACTGTTATTATTGTCATTAAGAAAAATACTTGGAACATGAGAACAACGCAGCCTGCTTGATTATCTGAACTACCTGTTCCTGCCATCTAGATATTTCAACAAGTTATTTGTTTTAACAGAGCATGATGTCAAATAATGGCATAGCTATTCAGGTGCGTTTGTGAAAAGTTTACGACCTTTCGCTGTACAAGTTACAAAAATGTACAATCGGAGATATCATAGTGTCTGGCAATATTCATTGAAAAGAATGAATATTATTCAGATGTCGACTTCTGAACTGCTAACATCTAAGTGGCGATCACTCAATATTCATCGTCAATATCGATCAAGAAATAAGAAACAGAAACTTGTTGAAATACTTTGCGCTGAGAATCCTATGTTGTACCAAAAATATAATATTGAGTGAAGCTAATAATAAATGCATGTCTGATAAAATGATATCATGGATCCGATTCGAATGTGATTCATTTGGAACATTCAAATTAATAGGATCGGAGTGACAAACTGTCTGTATGTGTCCAACATTACTATACTTAAAATATTTAGCATTACGAAACACACATGAATTACATGAGTGAAATTTACCACAGGACAAACATTTTCCAAACTTGTGCTCATCTTCGTGATCTGCATCGCAACTCTTCAATGAATTATTATCTGCATAACCTTGAGCACGCATTTGATTTGGATGAAATAGTAATGTAGTGGAATTCTTGATGTCCTAGCGAATCATTTTGTGTAACTTTCCTCGTTTACAGCATCCGAAATTTGTGCACTTTACATGGTCTAGTAATAGCCCCTTGAGAATCGCATAAGGAAGTGAAATGGGTTTTTCTGGAAATGCAAAAGTTCTTAATAAGTTGTGGGCTTCTTTTCCGATAAATGTAAGGAAATGAACCACAATATTAACATCCTCAACATCTTCCTTGGTTATAGTCCAGATTTCGAACCTCTCCATATAATCCTCAAAAGCATCAAAATTTGAATGGATGTCCAACTGTTCCATCACCGGCTCCATCGCGACGCCAATGTGATGATTATAAGTATTTGGATTATTATACGAACTAGGAATCCCCGAAATAACGCAATTTAAACCAAACAGAACTAGGTGAGCACAAACGAACCTATTGTATTTAGAATTCAAAATCAGGCACACATTGAGTACAAAAGAACCATTAGTTCATACAAACACAATTACCCTACAGGAAGTAACTAGCGAATGCCAAAGATTAGTGAATTTGAAACATGATAACCCGATGGTAGATAACGTTAGCCGGTTTTATCACGTGAACTCAGTCGAGAAAAAATAAGTACAAGGTCCCAGCACGCCAAATTATCGCAATGAGAGCGGCAAGCGATTATTCCCATGCTCGTTTATTAATCATCGTTGTATTACATGTTTCAGAAAAGGGCATAAAGAAGTCATTGTGAAACCAGAAAACACCGTCAACAACCGAAAGTATATTCTAAGAGATTGAAACCGCGAACAACCAAAGTAACAATAGCCTTTAACAGGACCGGCTCATAAAACCGTAGAAAATATGTTTGGTGGATATCATCTCCCCTTACAGCTGGACACGGCTTCCGACATAACACTTATAAGCAGAAAGCATGAGAGAAGATTGGGAGACCGCAAATATATCCAACTCAACAACCAACCCACATTGCATCCGGTGGAATGTTAAACATTGCTGGCGAGATACACTGAAAAGTCACAGACAAGGAAACATCATAGAGGGGAGTAATATTTTTGACAGAACGTCCACCACTTGACTTATTGGGAATTGACTGGATAGAGAGATTGAAGTTAGCAGGTCGCCACATAAACTTGATCTGCATCAACATCAATACAACGAGAGTGGACGATAAAAACTCAGTAGATGGATTATTAAAACGATATAAAATGGTATCTAGTGACGGGCTTGGAGGATGCACTAAATCGAAAGCTACTCATACCCTTCAATAGTGATCGAAGTCAGTATTCCGGGCTGAAAGATCTGTACCATATGTTAGTCGAACGACTTCATAGATTGGGTGTTATTGAACCAGCGAACTTCTCAGAATGGGCTGCAACGGTAGAGTCTGCTTATGTGATGGATACTCAGCCGGGTTAAATGAAGCCCTAGAAACTCATCGGTATCTCTTACCCTTGCCTGAAGATCTCTTTGCCAAGCTGAATAAAGGTGTTTTTTGTAAAGTTGGATTTGCCAAAAGCATATTTAGTGTGGGGGATAAAATCGTCGCCAAGTCATACCTTGAGAAAAATCGGTGAGAACCTGGAGCTATTGAAAGGAGAATAGGGAACTTTGTTTTTCAAAGTACGTGTGACGTTTGGGACGTGGATTAGACACATGAGCCAAATCGACTAAGAAAAACGGGCAATGAACGCGGAAGGTAAGAATGTTGGTCTTCCGTCGGAGATAGTTACAGTTATCAAGCTGCAAGCAAGTGGACACAAGGAAGAAGTCTTAGTTTTCGAAAGAAGAAAGGCGCTGAGGAAACCCAAAGTATTTCTCGAAAATGTCCACAAGGGTCCAAAAAACGCTAGGAAACATTTTATCCAATCAACGTTGAATAGAAACATCTCAGTAACATCTGGGAGGTAAAGAGTCACATGTCAAATTCCTGATAGGATGATTACGTGTCCTGCTACCATATTTAGTATGGTTCCAGAGACTTTCAGAGGCTCAAGGCCAACCAAAATACTATAAATGCCCCGATTTTCTGTACATGAAATAAACTTGAAGTTAAGCGTTTTTCACACTCAGCACCCTTTCTCTAGTGCTTATGTTGTCGTTACATATACTTTCTTTAATTATTTGTGGTGTTTTACTTTTGTTTTTCATGTTTATAACTAGGTGTTTTAGTTAAACGCTTTTGGCTTGTGGGTGAATTTCTTCGACTTGACATTTAGTACCTGACATTGGTCACTACTTAGTGATCAGTGAATTGTAAACTCTAAGGAGGATATTGTTATGTATATACTTGTGAACTCTGAAAGTGGGAAGGAGTAGACAATATGAAATCGGCTACTTACTAATTAACAATTGTAGTATAATATATATCCTTGGAATGAGTATCGGTTTTCAATCAACAAGATAGAGATCTGCAACTGATTTTCACCTTTTTCGATATAGTCAACTTGTTTGTACCGTTGTTAGCTATTGAATGATCAAAGTGTGGCTCCACGTTGTGAGTGTAATGTAATACTTGATAAAATAGCTACGCAAGATAAATGGAAATTCGTAATGAGAACACCGTTTTTGATCGATAGTATTTGATCAGCACAAAGAACTAGATAGACATGACATCATAAGTCATTGCTCAGTGACATGTCGATTGTAAAATATTATAGTTCTACAATCCTAGTATTTGAGTGGTAACGTTTCAAACTGTGAATCTAGGTGATACGGATTCGAATTCACCGGTGGGCATTAATCCCATCAAGATTGCGGGTATACTTTGGTGACGAGTGCCAACCAGTACCAAAATGTATATCCAAAGTTTCCAACCGATTGCTAAGAAACACCTAACACAAATAACGTTTTCCATCGAAAAAAAAAGATTATCTTCATACAAAACTAGTGATTGTCGTTACGTATAAAATAAAGAGATTGGCTGATTATTTCAGAAACTGGTGGTGACCAATTCACACTTTGTCAATAATCTTAAAGATTATTATTTTAGATATTTTAAAAAGAATCTAATTTAATGCATTTCGGTAACCTAATTACAGGTTGATGAAATCGAACTATAAATCACGTTTCTTTAGTGTTGCAGCTACTCCTACAGCTAAATGAAACCGAGGGATGCAGGGAGAAGATTGTGAACCTAAGAAATTATGGTTGGAAGTTAAGTGTTTTATTGAATAATCTAATGATTTTCACTTGTCACAAAGATAGGAAAGAGATAGTTCTTGTAAATTTTATGATCTAATCGAAACCAAAGACTTCAAGTATCGTTGTAGAAAGTTATCTTTGTATCTCTGGCAAGCTGACATCAGATGGTTCGCATTTCTAGCTTTAATCAACCAATAATATTATACGATCATAATCTATCTTAATGAATGATAGTCACATATAACGTTGAAACTCAATGTTAACAGGTACTCGTAACAAGGCTTGAAGGTTAGTTTCAAGTTCTCTAACATTTAAAACTACACAAAAAATATACACACCAACTGACGGCAATTATCTAACACTTCACTTACATCATGAATACGTTTTAATGCCGTATATCCACGAACTACTTGTCCATATAGTAAGGATAATTGAGTAAGTGAACGTTGTAACGTTTGTGTAGTGGCTAGGAATGACATTAAATGTCCAGCGTCTAATTCACCCCGAGACATTAGATGACCTCCGACATACAGTACTCCAAGAACAACACCTTTATTCAAGGTAATAAATCATCTGTTATTCTCTAGACTTTCAGCTCAAATAAAAAAATTAATGAACAAAATATGTGTACAACTCGACATGAAATAATTTCAGTCATTGTTTGAACCAAATAAAAGAAATTAACCAAACCCAATAGTCATTAACATCTTAAACACAAAGTTTTGTATTATACCAAGATCTTCAACTTTCGTAAGTTTGAATCTGTGACTCGGTGGTTAAAAGTTTATGCATATTGTAGGATAGAATTAACCTATATATAAGTTCAATGCTATCCACATTATCGAGACGAAAAGCGTTGTATGTAAGCAGTCGTCTGAGTAAGTTACTGATATATACGTTTCTTGTATACGTGCCCAAACAGCCATTTGAGTGAGGAAATCAAGAGTGAGTAGGAAGCTTTTGTAAGCTAACATGAATGAAATATGTATACAAACTCAATGACTAAAATAGATACATATCCTTTAAAGACTCAATTTAAATTTTTAGCTGAAAGCATATCTATCTTACAAGGAAAATCAAGCCAAATCTCGACCAATAGTGTATGTCCACCACAACACATCATTTGTCATCTAGCCTTGAATTGATGTCTGATTGGGTCACCTTATCAATAAGCTGCTTTGAGGTTTCCAGATAACCGAAGAGTGAACCACATAGGTTCTTCACTTGTCTAGGTGAGGTCAAGTGAATGGCCATATTTGGGTTATGCATTATTTCAGTGACACGGCATTGCATTTATCGATGTCACGAGACCCTAAAGTTTCGCCTGGTAAAGCTTGTTGTCCATTTTAACCTTTCCTTTAGTTTGAGAGAGAGATGTTTATCCATAAAAACGTCTTACTATAGCCATATACCGGTACTATCGGTGATATGACTCAATCCTCAGGACTTTCCAGTGCTTCCAAGTTTCTAATGGTGGTGTAACATTGACCGGTTCATTATCTCAATGAAATTCCAGATAAATATTCATATACACACAGAATGATGTGAAGTATTCAACTAATGACAGTGAAGATTTTCAGCTTAGGTGAATGTTTTTGGTGTTAGTGAATTATCTGGGCTATATTATATGATTGCGGAGCTCTTACTGTTATCCTAGATAACAACATAATTTCATTTATAAATGGGCTAAATGGATGCCCCCTTCACACAAACACAAATACGATATGTTGCCAACGATATCTATGCACATGATCGACCACCGACATAAATTTGACTAAATAAACGTTTCGAAATCCAGGATCAAAGGAATTCTGATGCCAGATAATTCCTAAACGTATGAAATTCAGGCCCATCTTTAATCGATAGATATATCGATACAGATCCAATCAATTAACTAAGACAAAAATGATCAATCAACAACATAGGCATAGATCAATCAAGCAAGACAATCAACTTGAATATAAAGATAAATGAAGATAATGAAACCTACCAAAATAACTGATTATAAACAAACTCACTAGAACAAACTGATTTAACACTTTCAGAATAACTCACTTCTACACAAACTTAATAAAATTACTCAAAAATGACAAATGAGGACTCCACAATTAAAACATTTTTGACCGCGCACGTAAAATTTGCTCAAAGGAATGCCTTGAAGAAAAAATTGTTTCATTACCAAGTGCCTACGTGAAAATGCATATCCGGCGAAATTCATCCATAAATATGCAAATACCAACCCTCGGATAAAGTGTGACAGAGTAGAAAAGAAAACTTGCTTTTATACTTACGCTTCAAAGGAAATGAAATTACTGGAATAATTATTCACAAAATAAATTCTGCGCTGAAAGTGACCTACCGAGAGGCAAAACTGACTACAGTATGGGAAACGAATTGCTCACTCAAACAGAATAAAATCGACAAGTCCTCTTTTCTCAGTAGCTCCAACTGCATTTACCGATTACATGTACGTGCCAAAGCACATACATTAGAAGAACCGAGAGAAGAGCACATGTTCGCATTTCTGATCATGTTCCAAAGAAATCGAGATTGCGAGGGATTTAGCTCGGCATTTACTTGACACCGGGCATACAACTGACATCTCTCATGCTTTTAAAATTATTAACAGCAAAGAAATACTGCTTCTCTCCGTTTTGTTGAAGCGATCACGATAAAACTAAACTCAAGCTTGATTATGTATTCGAAAAGAGACAGTAATAAACTTATTACTACCCTGATAATTCAATTTTTGGGTCATTAGTTTCATTTTGTTAATGTTTAATTTGTTATATTTCTCTCCCATTATCGAATTCTTAAACCACTCATTCACTCACACATTTCCGCTCACTTGATTCTCTTGAATCATGTGAACTCTTCAAATTCTATTCAATTATTACGTAACCCATCTTATCAGTTTTGGATTCCATGAATCATTTATTACCTCTAAAATTATCACGCAATTTATCTTATCTATTTCTGAACTCCACTCAACTATTTCATCACTCATCCTTAGTGTTCCCTTGATTCTAACAGCTAATAACCTCTGACCTGTTATTGCACGCATATATTGATAACCTCTGTCATCCCAATCCTTTATATTCACTTATGTCAATTGTTCCATACTATTTCTTATCTCTATGTAAAATTCTAATGCATAATTGGTTGTAAGCAACTGATGAGAACCTAACGAAGTACAATGATCAGTATAGGGGTCCTATAGTGGGACTCCTCAGCAGTACGCATCCACGACCCCGCCTCGCGGATTCGAACCCAGGACCTATCAGTCTCGCGCCAGGCGCTTAACCAACTAGACCACTAAGCCGGCACCCAACGGTGTTAATGTCTAACTTCAACTAATCCACGAAATTGAGCGACACATACACCATTGTCATCAGTGAGTTACTACACGTCCAGGGTGCACACTACTGAGGAGTCCCACAATAGGATGAAACGGCTGTCCAGTGCTTCCAGGTTTTCAATGGTGGTCTAACATCAAACGGTTCATGATCTCAATCAGAAATATAATGAATTCTGCATCAATATTTATTCTAGCTTTATTTAAAATATTTTACACCGAGAAAAAAATCATCAACATTAAAACTACATCATTTAATCTTTCATTGAACATAAAGACATTGATATAGATATATATATTAAATTTTTAATTTACCATTTAATGTTAAATTAGAAAGACCTTGAAATGAACCAATTCCAAAAGAAAGTTTTTCACTTAACATTTTAGATTTATTCACATTATAATTTACTTTACTATAGTAGAATAAAACACAATGAATAATTTGAAAAACAATAGATTAATGAATGAATAAATAAATAAAGATTAATTTATAAGTAACTTCCAAGATCTATTCAATGAACTGTTATTACATAATATATTCTTAATGGGTAACTATTACATAACTATATTATATGTATATTCATATCAATTTTATTACATTTATTTATTTGAACATATAAATACTGGTACAAGGGGGCACCAGATAGATATGTGCTACACACGTCACTTGATTTGTGTGTGAGATGTGATACTGCCCGAATGGCCAGACCGAAGCAAGTGGTTTTCCTAGGGGGCCACACCCAGAGCCTTCGACCTAAAGGTCTGACCCACAAGAGACAGTGGAGCATCGTAAGGAGATGCAGTCCCATTGTAAGCAGCCGGTGACCGACGATTGGTTCATACAGCATTTGTTCCCTCAGGATACTGGAAACCATGTGCACCATTGGTTTGAAATGAAGGTTTTCCGACTCCCCTAGGTGGACTCTCCGTGTCCACCAACCTGGTTAAAGAGCCGGACACTCGCATTTCGTCCTTCCAATTTCGTAAACAACATTAATGCCACGAGAAGGCAGTCAGTAGGACTTACATGGCAGAGGCTATATACGCGTGGCCATGTGAGAGTATTTGGAGAAGGAGAGCAGACTCTCCCCACTCTCGGCCGTACCAGGGTATTTGTGGGCCATTTTATTGTAGAACTCAGTGGCTAAATGAATAACGCGATAGCGTTTGAGGCGAATGGTACTGGGTTCGAGTCCCAGAGTGAACATCAACTCTGGATGCAGGTAAATCCAGGTGACGAGTCCCGAATAGGACGAAATGTGCGTCGTGGATCCCACTGCTAGCATTTTATTATAAGCTTTCGTTTAACCTATTGACTAATATCATATGATTATTTATTAGTTACATTACCCCATAGTCACAGACACTTTTATAGCTTGATTTTTTATAATTGTTATTTTTTTATTTTATGGTATGATGCGGTCTGGTCCGCCTGTATATAAACTACGTATATCTGAGATAAATTTGTTCATATAGTGGAGGCTGAAATTTCTTTCTGAACTCAATGGGGAGGGCTAGGCAAAAAGAATCTATAAGGATTTAGAGTTAGTGTTATTTTGATATGTGTCATTGGTTTCGTACAAGAACAAGATAATATAAGTGTTGAGGACGTTAGATCCTCAGAACTCACTTGAAAAAGGTCCTAATTTTGTAATTTTATTCTGAAAATTTGAATTTTATGTTTTCGCTCCAAGACACGCTTAATTGACCTACAGCTTACACTTCCCACTCGAAAACCCTTGACTGTCATTGGTTGACGGAATTTTTTAGTACGCTATTTTGTGGCTCTCCCAAGGGCGTTTCTATCCTTGCATAAATAAGCTTGATTTGTGCACTTAGTGACCTCGTATTTTCTGGGTGCTTGTAGAATACATTCTCTAGGCCTTATCAAGACTTCTTGATCTAGTCAGCAGGGCTGCGGACAACGGATTAGAATAGCCTATCGTGTCACTGTATCTTTGACCTTCGTTCCGGTTACCGAGTAAGGTCAACTCGTAATAGCATTCAAGCATATCAATAAGTCAGTATTCGGATTGGTGATTTTATCACATGATAATTAATAGGGCAAAAGTCATAACAATGACAACAAAATGTATCTGAATACGAAATTACCGAATCTCTTAGTAAAATCCATAAAGTAAATACTTTATTTGCAAAATGTCAATCAATTGTCTCAGAAATCATTGTTCCTTCATTTCCATACCAATCATTCTCTATTCTTGTTCTCTCCTCTTCGATCTTCCCGCCATGCATTCCAATTTCGGTTGGTGATACATGTTACTTATATATGTCGACATCAGTAGCATACACCACAAAAGTATGGAGATACGTAAAATACATACCTTGTCCCGCACGAATATACACTAGCCAGTCTATTCAAGTGTTTAAGCTAGCTATTTGTTTAATTCGGTTTCTTAAATTTATTTAGATCTTATAGTATTTTTTAATTCACTTTGAAATTTCGATCTTGAAACAATACAGCTTATGTGTAAAAAAAAACTGACGAGAAACCAACGAAGTAAAGTAACTTTCTACTCTTACTCTCTTCAAGTTAATCAAAGGAATTATGTGTATGAAATAGTGATTTTTTTAATAACTGTTTCATCACTAATGTTTGTGAACTGATTCCCTTCCTCTCTTCCTCTTTCAATGAGTCCAAAATGGACTGAAATAATAAGAGCTTTGATTATAATTCCTTGGTGGGCTGAGACTGAGGACCACCTGGAATAAACCAGCTTCAATGATATATTTAACAGACTAGACTAGGATTGTCAAGTCACACAGCGCATTGGGATTGTGTAGAAAGTTAAATTAAGATGTGAGTAAGTTGTAATAAACACTTAGACTATCTTCTTAGCCGGTTAGCCAAACTACTTATACATATCCACAGAATGTAAGTACTATTTACCCAGTAATTTTAACAACTCATGCAATATATACTTTTTCTGTTTGATTAAGATTATTTAATTAGTTTAGGAATTCATAGACAACAAAGGGATTTGTAAAATAGTCATTAATATTAGCCATCTGCCCAAAACGAAAAGCAGATACAATAGAGTTCGAGTCTAGGGGACCAGTAATTGAAAGTTCGACACCTTAGGCATTAAACCACCGCTCCACTTAACTTCAATGATTAAATGAGAACCGTTTTTTAACCGTGAAATGGTCGCCGACTAATTTATGGTTCCACATAAACCCAACTGTTAGGAGAGTATGCATATAGCTTATTTAAGTCATATATTCTATCACAAAAGTAACATCGCTAGCCATTCAATGCATAACAGATACGGCTAAAAGTCTAGCAAACAAATATGCACTTAGCTTATAAATATCAATTATATCTACTTTTATTCATAACTTAGAATAAAAAATAGAATAAACTAGATGTTCGATAATTTGTATGGTTTCTATTTATTACTTTTTTAATATGTATGAGATGTGTATTATAGCTGTACTACTCATGAGTAACTAGTCTTTCAATTGTAAAATTTATTTATTGTATTCTATTAGTCAATCGTAAAGTGACTAACCTCTTATTGGTCAATAGACTTATTATTTCTCCGGTGATATTGAACCGGTCCCTTTTGTGCTTATTTGCTTCTGAATTTACCACACTGAATGCGAGTCTTGACTTAAGCTAGTTATTTCTTATCATAAAACTATTTATTATTGATATATATTTCTCTATCTAATTTATTTATTTGAACACATATTGTTACAAAGGGGCACCAAATACATATGCGCCACAAGTCACTTGATTTGTGTGTGGGATGTGATACTGCCCGGGTTCCCGGACCGAAGCAGGTGGTTTTCTTAGAGGCCATACCCGGAGCTTTTGACCTAAAGGTCTGATCCACAAGACAGTGGGGCATCGTAAGGAGATGCAGTCCCATGGTAGCCAGCCGGTGACCAACGATTGGTTCATATGCCATTTGTCCCCTCAGGGTACTGGAGCCCATGTGCACCATTGGTTTGAAGTGAGGGTTTTCCAACTCCCCTAGGTGGACCCTCCATATCCAAGGAAGTAACACAGTCTTCTAATTTTAATCAACCTCAAGTGTGGTATTCTGGTGACTCAGAAAATATACATAGACAATCAAATGAAAATCTCGAAAATAACACATATTAGAACCTAAGTAAATAATTAAATAAACGTACTCAATTAAGAAATCTTCCATTGTCAAAGATTTCACTGTTCGTATATGACTAAACACCTCATCAGTTAACGAAGCCAGTAGAGAATTCTAACAGAGAATAGTAAGGTGGATAGAACAAAGAGAGAAAATACAGAAAATTGGTTATCGTCTAGTATGTTAAGAGAATGGGTGATTGGATAAGAATAAGAAGAATTCAACGAAGAAAATTTGAAGGAGATACGGCTGCAGAAATTCTTTATACTTAGCTACTCTTCCTATTGTCTTCTCAAGCTAAACTACCATTCATAAATGTGTTAAAGATAAACTTCTGCTTTGGGCCACATTATTTTGCATCTATAAGTCGACTTGCTCCTGTGCGGCAGATTACAATGGATGAGAAAAGTGAACACTTTCTAAATGCACCACAGAGCATTACCAGGAATAGCTTTTTAAAAAGGGGAATGTATTGCAATCAATAGCTCAATACAGGAGCGCTTCATTAACTTTGAGCACGTCGTCCCAAAAGAATCGTCCTTCAAAATAATATACACATTTGAACGAATGTTATCAAAGGGAGGTCAAGTCAAAAACTTATGCACTGCGGTGTCGGTAATCTATCGATTAAACCCTAAGCTCTGCATAGAAAAGTAATTACATACGAACTCTCATTCTCTCATGAACTAATGACTTCTCTATTATGTTTTGTCCTTGCTTTTGGTTTTTATCATTATTTTGTATTTTTTAAAACCGCAATCAGTTATCACTAATCTCTAACAATTGTTCATGATTATTGTTACATTAGCAACCTGTGCAGATTATTGAGTCTTATCCGTATGCATCTATTATTATTATTACTTGAACACATAAATATTGGTACAAGAGGGCACCAAATATATATGCGCCACGCCATATTTGTGTATATGTGGGCTGTGATACTGCCCGAGTGCCCAGACCGAAGCAGGTGGTTTTCTTAGGGAGCCACACCTCGAGCCTTTGACCTCAAAGTCTGACCCACAAGGCAGTGGAGCATCGTGAGGAGATGCAGTCCCATGGTAGCCGGTGACCAACGATTGGTTCATACGCCATTCGTCCCCGCACGATACTGGAGCCCATGTGCACCACTGGTTCGGGATCCGGTTAAAGCTCCGGACATTCGCTTTCCATCCTCTCGTTTTCGTAAACAACACCCCCACCACGAGAAGGCAGTGAATAGGACTTCCCTGGCAGAGGCTGTATACGCGTGGCCGTGTGAGAGCATTTCGAGAGGGAGGGCGGGCCCACCCCACTCTCGGCCATACCAGGGCATTTGGGGGCATCTACATCCAAGGAGATTGCAGTGTTATCAAACACATTTACATTGATAATTCAAAAGTCAAAAAAACAGACGTTTCTTTTTAATAATTTGAAGAGTTCGAATCAGTATTTGTCAACAGAAAAGTGAGGAGAATAATAAAAAACAAAGTGGTAATCCCTTTTTGTAGATTTGGAACTAACTTCCTGAATTTCTCAAACTAATTAAGAAGTGAAGAAGTCCTAGTGTACATTATGAAAGATTCTTTACAATTTTTCTTAGAATTCATTAACAATTTCAATGGTTAAGATCACGAGTCAGTTGAAGCTAGACCACCCTGGAAGCACTGGACGGCCGTCTCGTCCTATTGTGGGACTCCTCAGCAGTGCGCATCCACGACCTCGCCCCCTGCAAGATTCGAACCCAGGACCTACTGGTTTCGCGCGAGCACTTAACCACTAGACCACTCAGCCGGCATCCAACGGTGTTAATATCTAACTTCAACTAATCAACGAAATTCAGCGACACATCCACTGTTGTCTTCAGTGAGTTACTATCTAACAAAAGACCTGGTTGAACTCTACTGGTCACTACTTCTCAATAGAACTCCAGGATACACCTCGTGTAGCTAGTCACTAGTGAGCATATGTTGATTAATATCAGATGGGTTTTGTGGATATTATAGTAATTTCAATGGTTAAGATCATGAGTCAGTTGGTCAAGTGATCTAGCTTCAACTGACTCATGATCTTAACCATTGAAATTACTATAATATCCACAAAACCAATCTGGTATTAATTCATTAACAATTTAGAAAATATTATAACAAAGGAATCTTAGATTTTTTTACATTGAATATGAAGTCTATATTGTTACAAGATAGATAAATAGTAAATGAACTTACTTGTGATTGAACTTCACGACTAATATGACGAAGTTCAGTGCCCATTAAACTTCCAATTAAAAAAACACATGGTAAACAACCAAGAAGTGCAGCTGTTAAAGTAGGTGATATGCTTAATAATGCAAATACAGATCCAACAACCTATAGAAAAATTAATTAATTATAAAGATAATGTGTAAATTCAGTTCTATTTATGTACTAAACAGTTCAATCAATCAGTTAGATTTAAAAGCGACCCGAAACCTAGAGCATATGAACTTGTCCACGTTACCACACCATGTCAACATATACAGCACACTATAGTGGTAATGGTTATATTAATGATAGTAAAAATAAGTTTGGGGAACAGGAGTCAATAAGAATGAATTCCCAAAAGAAAAGCTCTAAAACTAAAGATCTATGAGAATACAAAGAGTAAATGCATCTGTGTCATTACGAGTCATGTCACGAGTATCGGGTGAGCCCGAACCAGGTCGTCTGTATCTACACAAGCATAGTTTATTCCAACAGTCGATGAATTGATCAAATAATGCGATGTCTTGTTTTGGTCACTTCTAGCTTTTTTCAACTTGCTCTTACGCCAACCAACACTATGCGTTGAGGCAGGAAGTGATTAGTAACAAGCAATATAATCCCCAACGACCTCAGTTGATCAGGATTTACTACTTCATCAACCGACATATCGCCTTATCCTAATACTCCGGGTCTGACCTTAGAATTGCTTACTCGGTGGTCCCAATATATGTGAGTAATCCATCGAAGACTGTGAGCCAAGGAAACTATTCATCTAATTAAAGCAGAATAGGTCGAATGAATTTAAACTTGCAACTTGATAGTTAATAGTTGGATGACTACAGTACAATAAACTATAGGTTTAGAACTACCAACAACGACATTTTGAATAATTGATGTTGATTTGGGAATGGGATCACACACACACTCCCACCACATACAGAACCAAAACTTAACACTCAACAATGATGGCAACCTCTGAATGGAAGTTTAATTTACCATAAGAGTTAAAACAACTGACAAATTTGATCATATTCTTGAACTGTTTATACAATATGAGAATGGTGCACGAATTGCGATGATTATGTCCTAAAAGGTATTTATTTATGTAAAGAAAAAGAAACAAATTCAATAAACGGAATTAGTGTAATGATTTAAGTGTATGACTTTAGTCACAGTTAGATATATAACAGATGGATAGGAGAAACACTCATCTAAGGCACCTCTAAAACAGTGAATGACTAATATGGGAACGCTTAATTGAATTTATCAATTGTCTGATCATTAAGCATGATTACCACATATCAGGGTAAATGTTGAAGTTCCTTTCAGAAAGGCAGTTGATTGTTTTATAGGAGATAAGAAGTTCAAAATAACTGGATGAGCATCAGAATGCATCAATAAAATCAAAATGTTCATAAAGTTTTAAAACTGACCTAGACTTGGATAAAATCAAACTTTTAACATATTACTGTTTAAAATTCATATTGTAATACAAATATGTACAGCTACAATAGATATTAAAATAACAATTGTACGAAAGGAAAATATAATACATTATGATTATTGGTCTATGTTTCAACTGAACTAAATTTTCAGGGACCATTTTCTCACTTGTAGGTGTAATAATAGTTTTCAATACAGAAAATGATGTCTCTACATCGATGTAAGTACAGAATGTAGGTAGCCACTATGAAAGGGAAATTTCTCACTTATCTACTAGATGAAGTTCTGTATAGAATTTTTTCAACATGATCATATTCGATCGTATTGAAATAATCATAACAAGAAATCTACGTTCAAAATGTTATCTAGTAAACAATACTAAATCAATTTATTTTATACTTAATAAGTATAGTTGTGGTGTATGCTACCTATATTGACAGATATAGGTAGTATGTAGCACCAACCGGAAGCGCAATGCCTACCAGCAAAAGATTGAATTGAAGAGAATAAAAAAAGGGAAACAGAGAGCAACAGAATTCAGAGAATCATGAAGTGTGTACATGAAAAATGAAGGAAGATGCGCAAATAATGTATGGTTTTCACATTTTATCGAGACAGTCTGTAATTTTGCGTTAAACAATAGACTTGTTATCCACATCAAGTCTTTGTTCATTACAGACTAACATAAAGTCTGAAGATTGTATGAATTTAAAATCCGTGGGAAATCATTGATATTCTCTCTTTTGACAATTGAAATCTTTGATTTAAAGAGTGCAAATATTATCGTATTAGGGGGAAATCTCTCATTTCTTATGATTTTCACTATAATGGCAATTTATATTTTCATGTCTACATCAGTCAGTCAGTAACAACGTAGAACGTCAATGACAAAGTTAAACAAGAATCGAGAGAGTGGACAGCCCTGACGAACACCACTTGAGGTAATCAATTCTGATAACAGTTCGTCATAAGCTCTCACTCGACCAATTGTGTTCGAGTAGAGAGCCTTTACAAGGTTATTATTATATTATATTATATATTATATAACTGTAAGTTTAGGAAAAGGGGATGATGAGATTTTCCAATTTTTTTCTATTTATAAGCGTAACATGCTTGATTATTATCATTACTATTATAGTTAGAAAGAGGATAATAAAGAAGTGGTGACAAACGATGAAAGCCATTTTGGGATATTGTTTAGATTAATTCTAATTCTTCAAAGCATCAACAATTAGTTCTGTGTATGTTTTATTCTATGAACTATGAGCTTTTGTTTAATGTATAAATTACCGTCATATTCTCTTCTATTTCGAAATTGATATCGTCTAGATGTGACCCTTACATTCCATTTTTTGTACTCTAATGTCCTAGTGTGTATACAATTGTATTTTTTTTCATTACCTCTGTGTTGCGGTTTTGCTAGTCATATATTTATTCGTTTACCTTTTTTGAGTTAGTTGAATTAAGAATAAGTCGGATATGGAGTCACAGATAAGTCGTTTTCTCTCTCCGATCCTCAACCAGTCAGGTCAGCGATAGAGTAATTTTTTTCTCTCTGTCCTCATGGCCGTTCAATCACAAGTCGAGATCAAGCGTCACATGTCCCAAGGTTGCATTAAGTGATCTAGCAAGTCAAAGCTGTAAACCACTTCAAAATAACTCTCTCTGTTCTGGCATATTAAGCACACACTAGTGAACAGATAAACCAAGGTTATAACAATTAGTACCAACTTACTTGAATCCCATTACGTAAACCTTGTGAAATACATTGTTTGAATGAACTTTTAAAGTTTTGTACATCTGATCCAATACTATAAAAAAATATATGCAGATAAGTTAATTGATAGGAAACCAATCAACAGATTTAATTATCCCGTTATTTTATCAACTAACAAGTTTGCTTAAACTATTTTAAATCTTAAGTTGATTCAATGTTTATAAATGGTTAAACACACTAATATTTACATCTAAGACTCAATAAATCAAAACGATTGATGACTGATAGTCTTAAGGCACTGTTATATGTAAACCAGGAAATACTGGGTAGGCATTTTGCTTTATTGTGATAGGATGATATCTTACAGAAATAAGCCCCAGGCAGTCGATCGTTAGAACGTTAGGTTTATAATTGTCTAAATAAAATACAGTGAAATAACTTACATTTCTACTAATTTTCCAGAACTATGTACATCAAAGTAGGCTACATCTTGATAGACTAACTTTCGGAATAATTGAATCCGCATACGTTTAGCCATACGTTCACCGACAGATCCCAATAGTCCAATGTACAAGAATGTGGATAGTGACTAATAAATTAGAGTATAGAAAATAAAAACTTGAAGTGGACTAGAAAAAAGTTCTGAAGTTGATAAGAGTGCAGTTTAATTATGGAAATGACCTTGAGTGATTGTCAAAATCACTCAAACCAATTTCCCATAATTAATTAACCTCTTTATGTTAGTTATTATTTCTTTTGCCTTGAGGTCAAAGATCTGTGAAAGTTACCATTATCTCTTAGTAGTACAAGGAGAATTGTTAAGATATGTAAAACAGTAACCCGGAAAAGGAGAGAAGATAAATTAAAAGAAAAATCGAGTGCGTAAATAGTTGATTCCACTAGCCATAATGGGGTTTTTGTATGCAGGATAGCTGTTGCCTGAAAAGGGTATTTTGAGAAAATCCATAATCAGAAGGCTTAGGACACCAATCCTGATGACTCAGAAATATATTGTTACAGCTACCATTTGTGCTGACGGTTAGCAAACATACGAGCTTCTCTGACGATATTGTTACAAAAACAAAGCTATTGTATACACACACTTTCCCAACCCAAGTACAAGAGTTCACACGAATACCACGAAAGCTATGTGGGGTCATTCAAAAAGCTAACTACAGCAATATGAATGTCCTCAAATATATGGCTGCTTTAAAATCATACGAATGCGTTTCTTTGACGAATCCTCCTTGACTTCAAGACAGAAGTAACGACTACCATGGGACTTATTTATTTAAAGTTGTTTAAATACATAAACACTGGTACAAGGAGGCATCAAATATATATGCACCACACTTTATCATCCGATTTGTGTAAGGACTAGAATAATGTTCTTAGGAGGCCACTCCTCAAACCCTCGACCTACAGGTCTAATCCACAAGATATTAGAGCAACGTAAGGAGATGCAGTCCCTTGATAGCCGGTGATCAACAATACGTCCACACGACATTTATTTCATCAGGATCCTAGAACCCATATACACCAATGGTATGGAATCAGGGTTTTCCAACTTTCCTAGGTGGACTCTTCGTACCCATCAACCCGTGGTTAAAGCACCGAACATTGCTGTCAATTTCGTAAACAACACCCCTGTTACAAAGAAGAAAGTGAGTAGGACTTCCCTGGTGGTGGTTGTATACGCGTGGTTATATGAGAGCATTTCGAGGAGAGCTGACTCTCTCCACCCTCAATCGTACCAGGACATTTAAGGGTGACTATTTCGGAAGAATTCAGCAAATTATGTAGAAACAGTATATACTTTACATCCTTTCTTACGGTTTTTATTGGTAAACAAATAGTAACAATTGTTTCATATATATTTAGTAATCACTTGGATTCTTTGCTATAGTTGAGCTTTATTATAAATCTTTTTCCAACTTCAAGAATTTCTCAATGAAATTCCCACAGAGTTGAATTCAAACTTCACTTCGTCATTATTCAGCAGACCCAACAAAATCAAATAATTTCGACTCTTTAAATTCAATAGAATATCTTATAAGTAACTTGAATACTATCCGTTGAATTGTAGTTACGTACCTTACTCAATTATCGAAGTCAATAAATTTTCTTTACTGAATTATCATGTAGAAATAATCAACCATTGACTCATATAGATGGGTTATAACGTATGAATTAACGTATTTTGTCATGACATGTTTTCAAAGATCCAACGACAGTTAAAGAACCTAAATTCCAACCAGACCACATCTGACCTACACTCCACTGGATAGTGTCACTTTTCTTTACACAAAGAAACTCGAGTTTAAGCTTATATCCGGTAAATAAATAACGGTACATACAACTTTGTGCACAAACTTCAAATTCACAGTTGATACCTACAGAGCTTGAGGATGGTGACACAATTTAGTAAAAAAAGTTCCAATATTCCTAGAATATTTCTCGTCATTTAAAACGCACCGTCGAAAACTGGAGAGAAAATGAGCCATGCTTGTTGATACACCTAAAGTAAGGGACAATTTGTGGACTATTTAAGCGCCGGGTTCATAGGACTACTGCTACATGACAAGCTGATATATTCACTGTGTGAGGACAAATCAAAGCATATAGTCATAGGAACTAAGGTTGGACATATCATGTATCAGGCACTAGACAGCTGTCAGAACATTAACATTGAACGCTTTAAGCTGGAAAATACATACTTTTAGAGTAGCTAATACATTCACTAAACAATTAAATATTTCGTGCTATTTAAATGTTATAAGAACACAACAGTTTCATACTGCGCACTTCAAGTGCGAGTTCTTGCTTGTGTCTTGTCACAATTCCAGATTTTGTGGGATTAGGATAATTATGTCAGACTGCCTCAAATTCATAACATAGTTTGTAAATAATAATTTTGGAGACCATATTTATCAATCAAACTTGTGACTTCCTTTCAGATTGTTAATTATCGTTGTGGGTTATACTTCAATACCTTGTTTTGCCAAACGAAACAAGCAAACAACCTCAACAATTAAAACTTGTAACTTTTTTGGTGTTTAATTTCTTGTGATCTACTGCAGTTTAATCCTAGTGTTTTGTCTCGATCGTTCACTCTTGAAGAATAAAGTGATAACAATGTTTAAATACTACAGGAGATGAACCCTTAATACACTTGGGTAAAAAAGTACATAACACAAAAAATGAACTACCTGTAGTATATATGAAGAGCACAATCTAAGTGTAGGGACATACACAGCAGAAACGAACCCTTCGTGAGTCACGACGCATCTTGACAGTGAACTAACGAAATCCCCAAGGTAAAGTGGTATGTAAACATTCATAACTGCAGCTACAAATGCACCCTAATTACAATAGGCTGGAATTTCAATCTGATATACCAGAATGGCACCGAATAAATACACACAATCAGGAAGCATTAGTGCCCCAATGTACCGAGGTATTCCTCCGCTTTCTGTAGTCGTGATCTGGTCCGTATGATAACTATCAACTTCACACTGCACAACTTGAATCCGGGATTCAGGAGATATCTTTGAATGCAGAGCAATGAAAAGTCCAGTGCCAACAGTAAGCCTCAGTGATGAAATACATTTTGGAGGCTTTATATGAGTTTTGAGTTTATAATGATCACATCTGTATGTACTTCTAAATTGTAACACCTTGTTAGTCAAGAACCCCCTCCTACATAATGACGGGAACATCCGTAAAGCTTAGAACTAATGCAGGCGGGTATTGTGAAGGTCATTCAGTCTCCGGATTATAACAGACATTGTTGTAGTAGGGAAAGTATCTGCTGGAAGGTCTTACGTGTATCTTAAAACTTCTATGCGTCAGTAAAACTTTGTTTAATTGGTCTGGAGCTACATCGCGTGTCTTTCTCACAATACCATGTAAAACGACTTACATTGTGTTTTGCGACTGAAGATAAAGTGGACTCCCAATCATAATTTGGACTTTATAAATGGCTACCAAACAAAGCTGAACAGAGGTTATCATTTGCATTGTTTTCGTGAGAAATGGTGGATGATGTACCTCTTTCTATTTATTTTCTATCTGAAGTTTTACTGTCGCAGTGATATTCGGTATCTCAGTGTGCCAGAATCTCGTTACTTATGTAACGTTTTATTTTTTGGTGGTGGTTTTTCAATTAACTTACGTGTTTCTTTGGTTTCTCACTACCACTCTAAGGTCACTGTGTACTTTAAGCATGTAGCAAATCTGTTATCATACGCCTACTTGATGTGTTGTAACCCGTGAACAGTGCAGCAGAGATATTTCAGGCGTCGTCCATTGACCAGATAATAAAACTAATCGATCTCGATTATGTTATTTTATTACTGGTCTCCAATCACTAGAGTTGAACTGTGATTCTATCACTTTATATCATATGATATTAAATCCAAGTTGCAGCATTCAGTGACTCCTTAACTTCACCAACCGTATGCTGGTATCTATGCGATTCCACTTCCTTATTATCCCTGACGAATAAATAAACGCTTTCTGAAAGAATGTTCGAACGGACAGAAGATATTTCTAAGCTTCAGTGTTATTTCACTGATAATACGAATATAAAGATTGTTTGGTATGGAAATATCGACCCATGCTGGTGTTAATTTCACTTTAAATGTGTGCTCAAATGAAGTGCATTAACCTTTCAAAGAACTAGTCGGGAAGGAAACGATAACATTTGGAGAAAGTAGTATATTTGTCTGCATGTTAATGTTGCACTGGCAAACTATTCCCTGAAAATATCGTTTGATAAATACTGAACACAAATGGAGACGAATGTCAAACTGACAGACTCAGTATTAAGTTTGTGGAGGAAGTGCGCTAAACGAATTGTACAGCGACTCATTATGAATATCTAGCCATAACTCCAGTTAGGTAAGCTTGATAAAACCAACACGGGCAACGTCATTATTGAAAGTCCGTCGCATTATTGATTCTGGGGAATTTTCCAACACTACAGCAGTTTCTTGTCCACAAATCTCAACCAACGTTGGTCCTCATCTTGCATGGTCCTGATCTAATTAAGCCCTGCTATTTACTAGCCTTTCAAATATTTCAATCCGCTTCACTTATACAACCACGGATAATGACTTGGGAAGAATAAATTAACTGGTCTGTCCGAAAGCTAGTACAGCTCATGTAGGCGCGATATAGTACTATTCAATACACACTGGACAGTTATAGAATTACAACTAGTTACAAGATGAGTTTCTTGGAACCTTTTCGAGCAGACACAACTAGTGAAGTTAATCATGTCACTCATAAATTAAGATGATTGTAGCCCTACATTCCAAATTGACTGAGGTTGAGAACCTTGTGAACCTAGCGAAACTTGTCTTCCATGTGATAGGCTATATATTTGTAGTTCATCTCTATTTTGTTATGCACGTCACCGTAAATGTGGAAAGGTTGGACATACATGAAAGTTTTGTGACAGTTTAAATTCGTTTAATACTAAAACACCAAAAAATGATGGATCAAGACCAACTGGTTTTGAGAGAAGGATGGATTCGTTGCCGCCTGATGCCGCCTGAAGCAGTACTTCTTATTTAATGCAAAAATTAACTACCAACACAGGCAACTTCCTTTCGTTTATTGTCGATACTGGTAGCATGGGGTTAATTATTTCTAAGAGAAATTTACTGTTTCTTTATAATGATATCAATTTTAAACTCTTAAATAATGGAGATACTGGCATCACTGACCAACAGTTACCAATTATTGGTACAGTTGATATTCCACTCAGAAAAAAGGAGGGTGGTTGTGTCAATATTTCTTTTACTGGTTAATGAGTATGGTCCATCTTTACTTGGGTTAAAGGACTTAAGATTGCTGGATGTACGAATTTCTTTATGAACTAACTCTTCCTACAGTACCTTAATCGAAGGTCTAGTCTTAAAATACTCGAAGGCTGTGGGGGAGTATGTTAATTCACCCAGTACACATAGAAGTAAAGGGAGAGTAAATCTTCCCGAAGCGTAGACTAATCCTACATGGTTCAAGATAAGGTGTGAAGAATGACCTAGATAAACTGATTGGAAAAGAGACAATAATCCCAGTTAAGTCGTTCATTTGAGCTACTCTCATGGGGATTCCATTAAAGGGGGATGGAAAAACATCTAGAATTTTTGGTGGTTACCGCCTGTCACTGAATACTCGGCTACTGCAACAGAGTTGCACCACTGAATAAACTGGAGATATTCTATATAAATCACGACATATTTTTTTCTAAAATACACCTGACAGGTGCGTATAGCAAATCACAGTGCATGAAATCTAGAGCGATTAACTACTATTAATGTGCCGTTCGAGCCGTTCGGATGCAATTTCCTACCGCTTGGGTTCAATATTTCGCCTAGCATATTCCAGAATGTTATACATCAGATTATCATCAGTCTTGGTGTTGACCCGTATCAGAATCAAATCGTAGGTCATGCTGAAAACATTGAGTTGCGTATTTAACGTTTTTTAAGGTTATTCGGACGCTTCTGTGATACAAATGTGGCCGTAAAGTCATCCAAGTGTCAGTTTCAACTTCATATATTAGAATGTAGATCCTAAGGTTTTTAAACCTGATATGAGTCGCCTAGCTCCAATGATGCAAGCACCATCACCTGTGAATATCTCAAATCATGTGTTGGCGTCCCTTACTTTTACTCCAGGTTTCTTCTTAACTCTATAGAAATATGATCTTCACTTCTCGACATGGTTTCTAGCAAAGCGCTTGTTTGTGGAAAACGGCATGAGGATATATTAGGGACACTCTGCAATAGTTGAATGGGAAAGCTTTCCTCTGACTGTTTTCACTGACCGAAAAATCTATCCTTACTGCAGATATATCTTCACTGAGCTTATGTGATATCCTAAAACAGAGTGGGGAACCTCTTATTTTTATTTCGAGAAGATTAAGCAAGAATGAACGAGGACGTTTCCGGACCCAAAGCAGGCTTTAGCCGTGATGTGGGTAGTAAAGAGACTGTATAAATACGCATTTAGTGTAAAGTTGTACACTGTAACTGATCACGAGGAGCTAAAATCTATTTATCTCCCAACTAAGTCAATTCATATGTCATCCGCTGCCATAGTCCAGAAATGGAATCTAGAGTTGAGTGCTTACAATCTCACCATTGAGCACTGAGTGGCTAAACGCTTTTTACTTCAAACTTTCTATCACGCTCTTCGTGACTCGGAATACCACCTAACGAAAGTTATTGTATGTTGGTATAATAATGAAAAGTATTCAAATTAATATGCTACCTAAGAATTCCTGAAACAGTGTGACTTAAGGCCGGCAGAAGTAGATGAGCACTAATGGACCTATTATATTTGATTTCGTAATAAGCGGTCAATCAAGTACGAGGAAATCATCAGTTAGTACAAATACAACAGTTGATTCGCCCATTACATTTTTTTACAGCACAATGTGCGAAGGATGTGCGATAATATTTCATAACTATCATAAATGTGGTGAGAAGAGATTGGAATATTCAGTACAAACATAGGTTTCCTGAGTTTTACAAAAGGAAAAAAGACATATTGTCATATGCTGAATATTTTTTGTGCTTTAATAATAGACTAATCATTCCCCTTACATCTAGATCTTCAGCATTGGACGACCCTTATTTCGTTCATTTGCTCATTAGACTTGTCGATGGCCTGATATTGATGCTGATTTAAGTCGGAAATAGAAAAACTATTTACAATTGATTGATCATTGGATGGTGAATACTGTCATGCATATCAGGTTCTTCTTAGTACAGATCGGATACTATCGACCAAATTGCAATGTGGCCACTGGTCTAGGTGGTTCAACATTGCATGTACCACGCTGAGATAAAATGTTGGTTGTAGGTAATCAACAAAAAAACCTAAACCCGAGTTTTGTGCTATTTGGCACTAGTCAGTAAATTGTAACTGCAATCTTAAGGGAACTGATTCTCCCTGGCGGATTCGATCCCATGTCATTAGCTTCGCAGTCAGAGACGCTACCGCTGAGCCTGTAGAATAATGGTCTACTATGATATTAGTACTGCTCTAATAATAGACGTAATTCTAAAATTGTAGATTTGTCATGTTATAACTGCCTAATCTATAAGATCTTACGTGGAAGTCACACCATCGACTACATCAACTCACTGTATCGTATCAATTACAAACACATGATGTAGAACAAGGTTGAGCTAGAGAAGGAACAATATATTTAATATGAATAGAAGATACAAGGTAACATTCAGAGGGACCACGCCTGTATGGCCGAGCCATGCCATCTGATCAACTCCAATTCATTCAATACATTCTTCCCACCTTCTACATCGTCAGGTATTTCTCCGCGCTAAATATTGAATATCTATTTTCCGAGTCGTCTCGTGTTCAGCTTTGAGGATTGTGTGGTTATGGTCCAATGCCACTACAAGCTATCCAGGCCACGACTGTCCTCCTGTAAGACTGAACTGTATTTAAAATCGATAGATCACTGAGTAGTGATCAATGTCATGTATATCAGATTCTTCTTAGTGTAGACCAAATCATATCGATCAAGTTGCAACTATTCAATGCTTTCTAGTTTCGAATAATAAATCAATTAAAGTCAATTCATGATGAATTCAATCATGTGTAGTGACCTACTTTTATCAAGAGAACGCGATTAATTTAACGAAAACAATTATTATTATAACCAATTGTACCAATGATTGTTTTACTGTGCTCGTTTGTTTAACTGTGCTAAAGACAGCCATATTGCTCCTCCATTATTCTCCATTACTGTTTCGCTGTTCGTGACCCCGTTCGCACGTACTTTCTCCTGCCGATTTCGCTTGTACCTTTTCTTGGCACGATCTCAGTATTCATTCGATACCACGAGATCGCCAAAGAAATAAACTTGATTCTAATCCGCATTCACCTTCTGATTTATTTGACACGTGTTTCTTTGTAGTGATGTTCATAGTCAACTGGGACCCGACACCACGCTACACATGTAAAATATCATTACATTGAAAACAAATGATTTATTGATTATTACTTATGAGATTAGAAATATTAGAAACATGAAGAAAACAATAGAATAGAACAATTGATGAATTCTGATTTATCATATGGTTTATAGTATTTACATGAAATATGTATATATATATAAACTTTTCCTTGACACCTTCTCAATGATGACTTAATAACCACTGATTTTCTTCATTGATTCTTTGATTATTTAAATTATATCTATTTTGTTTAAATAATTTAAATATAATTGAACATAACCATAGAACATTGAATACGATACTACTGATTAAAACAATTTGAATAATCATTGGTAATTGAATAAGTAACATATTTATTTGATTAGTGATTGTTTCATTTAAATGTACAGATTCATTGAAATATACTAAAGGTAATAAAACATTTGAAATATTAGATAATTGTTTAATTTTTTTATTATTTCTAATCACAATATTAATTTGTAATTTAATTTGAGCTTTTATAATAAGACCAGTAGTTGGTTCAATATAAATGGTTGTATTATATTCATCATTATTAGGTTGTATACCATCAATAGCATTTTGATAAGATTTATCAGCCTATTAAAATAAAAGAAAAAAAAAGAAGACGATAATGATAATGATCGATGAACGATGACAAAATGATCTTGAGAGTAGCTACTTAATTACTAGGGTTAAACGATGGTTATGAAGTAGTTTGGGCGAGACTCTAGTTTATGGACGATCTTTGAACGAATCTTAAGTAACCTTGAGAAATATTGGCCAATCAGCAAACAGTCAGTATGGAGTAAAAATATGTTATACAAAACCAAGGAAATAAAGTGGATGGTTGAAAAAATTGTCAAGGTTAGTAAAAGGTTCAGAGGTTCTAAAATCGTAATGCATACAGTAGAGGAAATCATCCATATGGCTACAGAATAGTCGGCCTCTCGAGCCATGATAAAGTCTTAGAAACTCTTTCACCCTCGACCACATCAATTCAATATTGTTTGTGTGCACTCCGTTTGTTGAGTGAAAAAAAAATGCTACTTTTGGATAACGACAAGATGCACATAACCAAGCCTATGTAGGAGTCTGTAAGCTCCCCAAACATATATATATATATATATATATATATATTGTAGTACCTGGGTGCAGCCAGTGTTACTGGTGCTTTTATTATCCAGTTCGCAATAATTGTCGTAATCTGCCTTAGTTAGGAATTATATATGGGGTTTTCATCACGAACTGACATCAGCCACAATGACAGAAATTTATTTAGCCAAATGCATGGAAAACTGCGTTAAGATCCGAGATCCATTATATCATACCTGATTGATTCGTCCACAAATTATAGTCCCGCCGTTTTATTTGTTATAGCCTTTCAATTATCACGTTTTGTGCAAAATTCCCTGTGAACCGATCGTACGTTAGCATTAAGCACTGTAGTTGGGGCCGTAACCTTGAAATCTCTAAAACGCTTTTGATTGACTCGTCTATAAATTAGAGTCTCACCGTAGTTTGAAGAATAAAGATTATGACTTACAATTGATGATTAGGGTTAGGAATTCGATTTATCGTTGTGTTTTTTTTAATCATGAACTGACACCAGCTAAAATGCCAAGACGATATTCGAACGAATGAATGAGTGAATTTCGCTCCAAAATTCAAGACCTGTTATCCTAAATCTGATTGGTTCATGTATAAATTATAGTCTCACCATCAAATATTATTGATCATTGAATATATGTGTTTAAATTAGAATAAATGTCAATTCATTACTATATTGTACAGTTGACCTTCGTTATAGGAATGAATGAATCAGAACTGATAGGATGGTTTCAAAGAATTGAAAGAATGACATAGACTGTAGATAACGTTATTGACTATGTCAACGAAGACAGTATCATTATATATATATATATATATATATATGAAATAGGTTAGGTTAGCGTTTTTTTAGCGAGTTAGTTTTCTACGGGATGGGGTCGCTAACCTCATGCCCAACCCTTTCCTTTATCCGGGCTTGGGACCGGCAGTAGCCCTCGGAGGGACTCCAGGAGGAGTTATATGAAATAGGTATGATTACGTAATTATACACAGAAAATGATGCATAAAGTATTATGAATTTTACTGCATGAAAGGTACAGAGTTAACCAATACTCTTACTTTATGCGTTAATTAGTGATTATAAATGCAAAACTCACCATTTTAAATCCATTGATCATAACACTAGAAAAACCAGTAAAGTATCTAATAATCATTTTTTGACAAATTCTAGTAAACGAATACACAAGTGGGGACAGTCGAATGCATTTGAACACAAAATTACAGAATATTTGAGTAAAATCTGAGAACCATACAGTAAATACTTCATTTACAAAATGTCAATCAATCATCTCAAACTTTACTGTTCCTTCATTTTCACAGCAATCATTCTCTGTTCTTGTTCTCTTTTCTTTGACCTTCTTAACCTTCTGCTGTCGAGCATTTCACTTTCTATTGATGATACATACTAATTATATCTGCCGACATAAGTGGCACACACCACAATATGAATTCACGTGATTTTATACATGAGATTCGAAACCACAATGCAACGTAACCAATAAATCTCATTATGTACATAATCAGGAGATTTGTGATAAATGGTTGAGTAACATACCTATATTTGATTATCTGATTTCAATCTAATCAATAGTGACCAATGTCACAATAAATTCAATTGGTATCGTTTACTTGAAATTTCCAATTGATGTTTAGGACTGCAATTGATCAGTGTCTTATTGGCATATGTGCATATTATGTGTATTGACTCGATATTGACTTAATTCACAAGCATTATAAGTAAAGATGAACTCAGTAGCTAACCCTACTGGGTTCGAGTCCCAGATTGATTATCAAATCTGAGATGTAGATACACCCCGATTCCCAAATAGAACAAAACGCGCGTTTTGTATTCCACTGTTAGCCACTATCCAAAGTTGTTTAGAAAGTCACAATAGTTAGTGGATTAATTTATAGCTTACAAATAGAATAACATAAAAAAGTACCATGAACCAAATGCTTAACAGACGCATAAAGACAGTGTACTAACTGATTCCCAAATAAATCGTTTGCACACTTTTTCCAGAAATAAATGTCTCCAAGAAGGAATTTTAAGAAAGTCCTCAATATGAAGGCTTCGATTATATATATATATATATATATACTATCAGGAACCTCAGTTCATACGAATGATTAGCAAACATACAAGTGACTTTGAAGATATGCCTATAATCACAAAATAATTATGTACACACACCATTTTATCTCTCCAACTAAAGGAGTTCACATGAATATCCTGAAACCTAAGCGAAGACATGTAAAAAAAACTGTTTACAACAATATGAATATATTTGAATGTGTATATTCTCTGAAGTTATACAAACGCGTTTTTCAACTTTTAAGAGGAGAAAAATTGATGACCATCTCAGAAAATAATCATCAATCTTGTAAAAATAATTTTTAACTTTATAACAGTTTTAATTTCATCTTATAAACTTGTTCAGATGATTCAGAACATTCCTCGAAAATCTCATCGAATGAATTCAAAGTAAATCCAACATTTCGCTTGGCAATTTAGTTCAAGATTTTTCAAGGAATTATAATCAAACATCAGAACGTCGAACCAGATTGCCAAGTGAAATGTTGAATTTACTTCAAATTCATTTGCTAAGATTTTACAAATATATTCTTACTCTTTAATGTCTCACATCAACTCAGCGCTTAAATACTGTGAAACTATTTGTTATAACTTGCAGCCTGATTGTCCTGTTAATGGATAAAGTAATGATACCGCCAATTAGGGAGTAGTGAATTATCGATCGGACCAATGACACATAAAGCACCTACGAACAGTCTAGAGTCTGTATTGGTCCTGCCTCTTGTCTAGCCCAGCCAGTTAAGTCCAGAACACCAATCTCAGCCTCTGCAATATGAATCATGTATTTCAAACATACAAGGTTTATATGCCGATCAAACATATCACAAAGTACCATAAAATAGAAAATAACATTTGTACAAAATTTGGCCAAATATGACTGTGAATGTGGGAGGCAATGGCTAATAGACACGGCATAATTCAAGAATGGTAAACGTTACGTTTTTGAATGAAATCGTGAGTCGATTAATGTAAGACCATCGTTGGAAACCTGGAAGCACTGAAAGGCCGTTTTGTCCTAGTATAAGACTCTTCAGCAGTGCAAATCCACGGAGTTCTAGTGAGAGGCTGTGATCAGTGAAGATAATCGATGTCAGATAGAGACACGTATTTACCTCAATACAATGGAAGATGGTCGCTTATTTTCGTGGATTGGTTGAAGTTAGACATTAACAAGGTTGGATACCGGTTCAGTGACCTAGAGATTAACCATTCGCACGCAAGACGAAAGGTCCTGAGTTCAAATGTCACATGCGGAATCGTGGATGCGCGCTGCTGAAGAAACGGCTATCCAGTGCTTATAGGTTTTAAATGGTGGTCTAACGTTCATCGATTCATGATCTCAATGAAAAGTGATTTATTTCACTAATTTCTTGTCTACATAGGTGTGTAAAAAAAGAAAAATTCTACATCTCTATCAAGTTTGTTTTACATTGTTCCTGCTCATTCCTTTTCCACTCTTTTGTATATTGTTTTATACTACTTATTTACATTCAGTAAGCAGTCGTATTCCTAGCAATTTTCACACTTATGTCGTAACGCAGGTTGTACTGTAATATTCTGAAATGTTCACATATACTTACAACGTTTATTGTACTTATCATTGTATTTATCGTTATAATTACTGTATCTCAATCACTGTAGCCGTTATCCACAGTTTTGTGCATTTGTTTAAACGCAACAGTTTCCATATATTGTTTGCTCTTGTTTCAGATTTCGGTTGTTCGTAAACTGTTATCAAATTTAGACACAGCTATCAGCTGTCCTTTGTATTGTCGTATGTTATAATTATTCTTTATGTTACTGTTACAGGAAACCTTTTTATTTTCATACTTGAAGGACGGGTTTAAACGCCCCAGACACCTCACAAGTTGAGGTTTGTAACTAAAATTTGTTTATTATTCAATAAAGAACCGCTATTGTAGAAAAATCGTTGTTTCGGAAACTTCGGTTTTGTGCGTATCTCAACCGGGTAACTTGGACGCTTCGATAGACTTAACTATCTCAATAAGACTAATATTAATAAAATAGAATTTAATATGTTCAGAATTTAGAAATAACATTGAACCTTGATATTTATAAACAAAGATAGATGATATTTAGCAATGGAATCCAGGACATGTATTTCGTCTTATTCGAGACTCGTCAGTTAGATGTAAATGTATCTCAGAGTTGATCATTACTCCTACTACATTTGAAATTATATACATAACCTGTTATAGATTATAAAGTTAATTGTATTTCGTTTGTATATATAAACATATTACATTTGATGACTTGTATGATTTGATGAGAATTAATAAAATGATCAAAGAATAAATCAAGTTATATCCCCCCTCAATTGTTTTGATAATCTTCCATCAATGAATTGAGGCTTGACTTATGAACCATGATGTGC